TTTGTTTGTTTGTTTGTTTTTTTAATTTTATTTTAGAGCTTTTAAATCGCGGTGGCGGGGCCAGCCGGGGCTGTTTTCAGGGGGTTAAGTGGTTACACCGTTACTAGGGTTTGTCTTGGTTCTAATGAAGAATTCATTCTGTCTTCTGGGCGCACAAGAGTTTGGAAATCACGGCCTTGTTTATGCAAGCGCTTGCTTAGAGCCTGAGTAGAGACCATGTGCATGTGTATGTACACATATACATTGCCCCTTCCACTCCCAGCTCTGACCTGGCTGTGTCTTTTTTAATCTGTCAGTGTCAAGCCAGGGCACTTCGGCAGCGCTTCAAAACCAGTTAGGCTGCTGACAGCCTCTTGCGTGGATGCAATTCTTGACGTTCAGTTGCTTGTGGCAAAAAAAGCATTTATTTGCTGCGTTGGTGACACTCAGGTTTTTTGATTTATTTCATTTTAGGGTGAGTCAGGTTGGTTTGTTAATGAGAGTCCTGGGAATCTAAACAAAGTTCCTGGACAGCGTAAGGTTCGCACTTTCAATGGCACATGGCATGCAGATGTGCAGAGCGCTTCACACTTGTAAAGTCCAGGTGTTAGTCTGCTGACTCAGCTGTTCCTGCGGTGGTGCCCAGGCTGGTGAAACTGTTGAACTCTGGGATTCAGGGATTCAGTGAGGAGAAATCTAACCTCTGTTTATAATCCAGCACTTGTTTGGAAAACTTTTCTTCTGGCTCTCCTGCCTCTGTAAGTACATTGATGTAAGTCTTGCTCCAGGAAGTAATCTGTTTGTGCATCCCTGGTCTAGGGAATGATTTCTGGATTCGCTTGGTCCATGGAGAGGATGTAGAGTTCTTTGGGAAGAAAGATGTGTATTTTAGGTTTGCAAAGAGGCTGTGGCAGGTGGAGTGTAAATGCTGAGGCCAAGGAAAGAGAAGAATGCTGCAGCCATGCAGCCACACCATTAAAGAACAGAGAGACCTGCACGAAGCTTCATTTTCGTAATTTTTCGATTTTTATGTCAAACTTGGTGTCATATGGAAAAGGAGTTCTGTGGGTAATTTATCTCTAAGAGAAGATACCTCCTGTTCGCAGAAGACTACATGTGCAGGAGGAGCTCACTTAGGAGGGTGAATGGTGATGAAGGGGAGCAGGAAAGCCAGGAGCTCTCTGGGACATTGCAGAACACTGCATCAGCTGGCTGAGGATCTGAGTGAAGCGCCAGTCTTGAGTCTTTTATACAGCAGGCCTTACGGAGGGTGGTGTGATACACGTGTATTTATGTTTGTGTGCACGTATTTGTATACACATGTATATATATAAAATATATTTTGCAATGTTCATTTCAGTCCAATTCCTCTTCACAAATAATAAATTAAAACATGGGAAGCGTGAGACAGGCATTTCTGTCTTAGAATGACTAGCTCATAGTAAGACCATTAGGAAAAAAAAAAGGCGTCAGTTTTAGCAACAGCAACAGAAAGAAAATAGGATGAAGCAACTCAGAATCTCCCAAATAATTACTTTAGGTGATGCTTTTGCTTCAGAATATGTACTTCTACAGACAAGCTGTCAGTTTGTGATTTTTTTTTTTTTTTATTTGGATAAATACTTGTAAGCTACATGCAAACGTGCAACTGACTGCTTTAGCAGAAAGAGTTTGTGGAAGGTGCGTTGTAAGTGACTGGCCTGCAGATTTTCAAATCCAGATTGTGATTTTTACATGCTGAGGTTAAATTTGGGAAGAGACGGATGTTGTGTGAAATCATGTACCTCGTACTATTAGATGCTGTAGTTAGGAGCTAAGGAGATGCTTATGTTGCAGTTGGGCAGTTGCAAAGGGAGTGTATTGTTTGCAGAGATGCTGTTATGTCTTAAATTTTTTTACTGTTGTAGGTCTGTATCGTGAAACTTCTCTAGGAGGTAGCATTAGCAATTTTGTTTGATTTGCAGTAGGACCTCTTTAACTTTCTTCCACAAACCAGAACATAACTGCTGTCTGTGTCTGCCCTGCCCAAGTGGGTGTGTTTACCCAGCCCTGTTGGACAGGGCCAGGCTTGATCAGAACTTTAGGAATAAAACTGTTCATACCGTAAAATTTTAGAGTTGTTGCCGACCAGTCCTTGGACATCTGATTCCAGTATTTGGGGCTCATTTAATGAGCCTGAGACCACTGTCCTATTGCCTGCAATCCGTTGCCAGCAGTCCTAGATATCCAACACATTCGTTGTTTTGACTCTTCTGCTTAGTCTTCACATTCCTTCATAAGTCTCTTTTACTTCACAGGGATGATTTTCCCTCATTTTGTAACGTAAATGGACCTCCTGTGATTTGTTTGGTGCCCATACTTTGGAGCGAGATGAAAAATGCTTTGAGAAAAGGATGGTGTAGGAGCTTATGGGATAGAAGAGGAGAATTTGTGAGAATTTGATGATGAACTCTTAAGGTTTGCTAAGAACAGTCCTTAGTAAAAGAACCTCAGTGAGGTTTTGCTCTGGGAGATGAAGATGTTTTCGTGTGACACCAGTGTTTTTGACTGATTTTGTGACTGTTCTCTCTACAAAGACACTCGTGGGAACGTTTTAGTGCTAGCTAGGGTCAGTCTGGTAAAATTTTGTGGTGATAATTCCATCTTGAAACAAAGGGGCAGAGATTGAGGAGGGTGACAGTGACGTGTTTTTGTTGTGTTCTGCACTGCAGGGTCTGTTTGGTGTTCCAGAACTGAGCTGTCCAGAAGGATTTCAAGAAGCACAGGACAAAGCATTGCAAGAATCGGAACAACTGGTCCAAAAGGCATGTTCAACACCACCTGGGCCAGAGACAGTAATGATCTTTGATCAGCTTTCAGATGCGTTGTGCAGAGTAGCAGACTTGGTAAGTTACTTTTTTCATTATTACTTGAACCAATGTCTTTTAAACCGACTGACTTAATAAGCTTACACCATGTTGTTCCATTTTATGATTTTCTGCACTGCAGTAAATAGTAGATCATCTCTGTGAAATTTTGTGTTAAAACAAAAAATGAAATTGATTGAAAGTTAATTACAAAGGCTCTTGCTGTATGAGTATGTAACTACAAATCCTGTCAAACTGTCCGGTTAATTTTAAGACAGATGTAAAAATAGTATAAAGGCCACAACAAGAAAAATAACAGTGTAATCAGAATTTTATTTCTGCTGTAATATTGATACATAAGCTTTCCGGCATCACTTACGTTACAGAAGACAGAGGATTACTGTCAAAGATAAAGTTGGGGATGTTTTTAAGTTATGAAAGCTTATAGGTGAAGGTCCATAAAGAATTTACAGATTAAAAGCAGCAGATGAAACTAAACAGTATCACCTTTTATTAAAGCAAGGAAAAAATGCAGGTATTTCCTAGATTGCAGTTTCTGTGGTCTGCACAATTAGAGTACTTGGTCTGATACTTTTTATCACAAAATGTTAAGTGCAAGGGAGCACTTTGTATTGCTCCCTGGAAACTGTTTGCCCAAAGTATGTCTTCTATCATAGCGTCACTCTTCCTTTGAAGGAAGCAGAGCCAACCTTCGTACTGAAATCAGTTCTTAATAAATAGATCACTGAATTTTTTTACTTTGGTTTTCACGTTTGAATTTCTCTCTGTGTTCTCAGTTCTCAAATCTTGTGTCTTATTCTTTTCTAGATTCAAGACATTTTTTGTACCAGACTCTTTTTCCTTCTGAAACTACTTACATGCTCTGTCGAGTCACTAATTCTCCTTTGTCTGTTATATTTTATATAGACTATGTCTAATTCCTCTTAATCAATCAATATATAACTAAAACACTAATGTCAGAATCCGATGATCCTAGTTTTGTTTCAGTTTGCTGAGTTAAGATTACCCCCTGTGTACCACTTTCAGGTTTACATATTCAAAGATGCAGAGCTTGCAGATTTTGATCTAGAAGCAGTTTGGTGATTGTTATCTGTTGGCAGGAATTTTGAGATCTGCCATTCAGCACCTATTCTGTCCATATTATATAGGATTTTAAAGAGGAATTCTAAGGAGTAAAATTCTAAAGTGTGTAACATTCTTCAGGTTGCGTTTTCAATCAAACTGCAATCATATACTGTTAAACAATGTCAAGCTTGCTTCATGTGCTGTGCTGATTTGTATTGTCTTCAGTGTATTCCTAATCTTTAATTAAATATATTCTTAATCTATAATTCTTTATCATTTCAATGCCAGAATCTCTCTGAATTCATGTCAGCAGTCATGGAAGCCCCTAGCTCCCCAGCCCCCTTTCAACATCCTTCTATCCTTCTGAACTCCTTTAAGTATTTGGAGACTTACTGAATTAGTAAGTCAGGTAAAAATCCTGTTCTGAACCTAAAAGAGCTTCTGGGTTTTCTCTTTAAACATATTTCTTCCTACTAGGTAATGATGTCAAAGCATAACTTGATGGTCTATACACAAGAGTAAAAAGAGTTAGAAAACAAATTCTCTGTGCATATTTAGTGATGTGCTTTCTTCTTAACTGTGAATTTTAGTTTTAAAAAACTTTTGTGATAACATTTAAATATGTTGGAATATCTCTATGTTGTAAGGACTCTAAGATACACACCGTACTAAAAATGTTAGTGTAGAAGTGTATGGATTAAAGATATTTTTTTGGAAAGACGCATTCACTGTCTGGTTTAATAGTTGTCAGCAGTTTTCCAATAAACTTTATTTTTTAGAAAAACTAGCCAAACAAATTCTGCAAATAGGTTGCACAGAAGTGTAGAAATAAATGTTAATGTAGATGTAACTACTTGAGTGCAACTTTATTTATAATTCAAGGCTTTTCTTTCATTTGTCTTTTTACCTCACTGTTTTCTTCTACTGTATCAGGCTGATTTTGTGAAAATTGCCCATCCTGACTTTGCATTCAGAGAGGCTGCTGAAGAAGCTTGCAGGAACATTGGTACCATGGTAGAGAAGTATGTTTTCTTCTTTTTTTTTTTTTCCTTGCTATTTCCGTATACGTCTTTAAAAATTACTGTATGATCATCCATGAAAACAGCAATCAACAAAAAAAAAATGTAGGAAGGATTTGCTCGTGAGAACAAAGTCTTCTGTCTCATTTTGCAAATGGGGCTGCAGAGGCTTCCTGCAGCTCTGCTGATTTAAGAAGTTAGTGCTCAAGGCTTTCAGACTGGCGGCTGCTCCCTACCACAGCTATGCTGATATATATGCATGCGTGTCATTCCCTACTGTGATTCCCACCCAATAATTCAGATCAACATACATACCTGAAGTTAACATGCCAGCAAATCTGATGTACTTAGTATTGTCTGGCACAGGGATGGTAATGAGCATCTGGGAATGTTCTGGCAATAGTAAGCTCTTAGTCTGCACTGCTGGTTGACACTGAAGTATTTATCTGATGGCAAACTTGAGCACAGATTTTTGTTTAATGGAGTTGGAGTCCTTTCAAAAATAAGGATTAGAAAACAGTTTCCCCACCTTTATGCTCTTGCTGTGATTATCTTTGTTCATAAAAAATAAGCTGTCACTCTTAGACTTGCTTGTATTTGTCACAAAATGCCATCCAGAAGTACTTTTCTATTGGATGCCCAAGACCTGTTTCCATGTCTGTTAATCCACTCATCCTTTCTATACAAATTTTGTAGTTTTTAGGTGTGGTTGTGAACCAGAAAGCATTTTGAAAATACAGTCCTTGGTTTTTAATGTTGTTTCAGTAAATATTAAGCTCTGCCTTTGAATAAGTAATACCAAAAGACTGAAATATTAGTGTTTGTTACTAATGCGTGATTCTTTTACTCTGTATCTTTCCAGATTAAATACAGATGTTGAACTGTGTCAGAGTTTGAGACGTCTGCTAGCTGATGAAGTTGTCATGAGTTCCTTAGATCCAGAAACCAGGTACCTATTAATGCATATAGATTTAGATTTTTAGATAGTATATAGCATTCCTGGTTTTGCTTATAGTTTGTGTTTTGTTAAATTAATTAATACAACTAGAAAAACATACTTTATATCTGTTACTTATTTATTAGTCACTACTAAATTACCTGCACAGGAGCTAGGAAGTTTGTCATTCTGTAGTCTTAGAGGATGTCTCTGTGACTAGAGCACAAGATATATTTAAGCTGAATAACTGAGATCTGCAAAAACAAAAAAATCAGAACTTAAGATTTTCTTCAATAACACTATTTTGGTTAAAATGAGGTGCTGTGCTTTGGTGTATATATATCAGTGTTTTTAGCAATATAAGTAGGGAACAGACTATATAACTTGATTTCAATTTATAGAAGCTTACTTATGTCTTTCAAAATAAGATTATCAGTTTATCTGTTTAAAGCTTACTTTATGATACTGTAAAATGTTTTATTAGCTGCTCATTCTGTTATAGTTTTGAATTATTTCATTGCTGACATGGTTAGACAAACTTAACGTTTTAGTTAAGTTTCCTTAAGCTTCCTTCCTTCTTCCTTCTTTCCCCACAGTCAAGGATGTCGGATTTGAAGAGATCTTTTTCTGATCTCTTAGAATAAATGAAGTGTCAAATTCAAATGGTAATTTGCACAAATTGGTTAAACATCTAGATTAATGTAGTGGAGTTATTTTAAAGGATATTTTCAATGCAGATGACTAAAACAACTACAAAGGAAAAATCCTGTTTCACTGAGTAAACTGTTAAGGACCTAAAACATAGGAAGTCTGTGTCGATAATAACAATACTTGTGTAACTGTGTTGTTATTCTCTGTAAAAGACATCAAACCTAAATAACTACTATGGGCAAAATCTGTTAAGAAATTATGCTTACTATCAAATGAGGCTGTTTTAACGGGGATTTACTGTATTTTTAGGCGAGTGGCAGAACTTTTTATGTTTGATTTTGAGATCAGTGGCATTCATTTGGATGAAGAAAAGGTAATTTTTGGCTACAATATATGAACAGAAATTTGCCTGACTACCAAAGACCAGATAATGAAATGTGAGACATGAATCACATGATTCTGGGCCAGTTTGTCCTCCAAGATACCCAGTGTCCTCTGTGGAGTTTTGTCTTCTCAGAAGTGGTTAGTTTTGTTTATTTTAGATCGCTTCTGAAGTGTGTTTTTTAATGTTGTCTTAGATATTAGTTGAGTGTTCTTCCCAGTTTGGCCATCGTCATTCCTTTGTCTGTTCTGAAGAGTTATAAGCAAGACCTGGGATACTGCTTCCTTTGATTTCGTGTCTGCATCAGATATTTAAAATAAGTACTTAGCTATCTGAACAACTTATTTACAGAGTGGGAAAAAGCAGCAGCCCGTGCACTGTGATGACAGGTTGATCAAGTAGAGTATTTTAGAAGGTATCAGGTGTGTGTCCAGGCTCTCCTTTGGTGCTTGCATAACTAGAAGTTGTAAATTTTGTGCACAACTCGATGTCTGGGCATGGTCTGATGGCATGTCTTGGTGCTTTTACATGCTTTTGCAGTAGTTAGTGATGGATTTGCCAAAAATACCAGCTTTCACTATGGTTTGTGGTATGATGCTCTGTTGGATGTCTGTTCATAGCTCATGTCCCTGTATAAAGTTAATACCTTGTTTATTTGAGTCATCCCCTCCAAAAAGATCTGTAGAAGGCTCTTTTAACAAATTTATATGGTAAAGTTACTCTGCAAATCATAGTTGAGATGGTGTTTTGTGACCTGGAAAATGCTTCTAGAATATATTTTTGCAATTACTTTGTACAAAGAACAACTCTGAAACTTGGACTCTGCGTTTTATTTCTGATTTGACTATCGGTTCTATGGTGCTTTATCCTCTTTCAGTTACAATTTCACTTGTCCATTATTTTTGCACATTTTCCTCTTTCTCCGCTGCCTATTCCACTTTTCTTCTATTGCTTGCTCTTCAGTGTTTCTTTTCAATTCTCATTTCAGACTTTAGAAACCCTTTACTGTTGTAAGCTGAAATTTACTTCTGTTACAAAACTTCTGCTTTTTAAAATAAAACTCAAAGGATGTGTTTTAAAGAGTAAGGGTGGGATGAGAGGTCAGGGACCTGCAGGTTTTGTTATTCATTCAACTTGGCAAGTATGTTGTATCTGTACCTTCAGCCTTTTCTTTTGAGCTATGAACCCACAGACAATAGAGAGCATACTCTCAAGTTTACTGAAGCAAATCTTACAGTAAAGTTAAATGTGTGAAATACTGTAATGGTGGTGATAAAATCCTACATCACAAACTCCTCAGGGAAAGGTTGAAATACCATAAATACCTTGCAGTCTCCAGAAAATAGTGCAATACGAACAGTGACAAGAGAGCTGTAATTCTGTATCTGTTTGAGATTGTTAGTAGGATTTATCCATCTCAGTGATGCTTCTTTTTTTCTGCTCTGTTTTACATAACAATCATATTATACAGTTTTATAAATACTTTCCAAGCAGCTAGCAAAGCTTATGTAAATTCTACCTAAACTCCACTGTACATTTTGTTACTGCAGAAACATAGACATTTTCTTTCAAATTTCAATCCTATATGAAATTAAAGTTGTGTGTGAGCATCTGATTTTGTTGTCTTCAGCCCTCCATTAGGATTTTGTTGATGCTGTAAGTCTAATCTTAAATGTTGTATTTTCTGCTTCATTTCTGGGAAAGTCTCTTAGGTTTTAGAAACTTTGAGTTCTGCTTGTACTATGTCTGAAGGTATTATATTTTGTACTTTATTTTTCTTACAGCGTAAAAAGGCAGTCAACCTCAACATCAGAATATTGGATTTATGTAATGAATTTCTGACAGGATCTCACCTTCCCAACAAGATTGACAAACATGTTTTGCCAGAGCATATTCGATATAATTTTACAGCTGAAGGCAATTACTTACAAGTTGCTGGTCTGCATGCTGATTGTCCCGATGATCTGGTGTGTATTCCTCAAGTTTGCTTTGGCATACTCTATAGCAATTTGTTATTGAGGCAAATATATGTAGATCATGATTATGATGTTAGGGCTAGCAAGGAAGAACTGTTTTAGAACATAATAATCAGTGGCAGCCTTGGCTGTAGCAGCTGTGAAATAATGGAGACTAAGATCTTGAATGGATTGAGGAAGAAAAGGGGCAGAATACAGACCCTGGATTTCAGGCAAGCAGGCTTCAGCTTATTCAGTAAGCTGTGAGGTGGGATCCCATGGGATGCAGCTCTGAAGGGTAAAGGAGCTCAAGAAAGCTGGCAGTTCTTTAAAGATAGTATCTTCCAAGCAGATGAGGATACTAAGATACTGAGTAGCGGTGCATCTTGGTACTTAGAAAGCCAAGCAGACATAATAAGGAGCCAGGTTTGGCAAGCAGGAAAAAAAGGTAGCAGACAGGAGGTGGAAGCAGGTACAAGATAAAGGGGAGGAATTCAGAAGTATTGCCTGTACATGTAGGGATGATGTCAGGAAGGCCAAAGCTCAAGTGCAGTTGAGACGTGCAAGTGACATCAAAGTCAACCAGAAGAGCATCTACTGCTGCATTAGTACTAAAAGGCTAGACAAGGAAAAGGTGGGCTCAGTGCTGAGTAAGGTGGATGGTTTAGTGGCAGCAGACACAGATAAGGACGAGATGCTGATCGCTTTCTTTGCCTCAGTATTCACCAGTGAGTTCTCCCAGCCCACTGTGCTTGGTGAAGAGGTTCAAAGAGAAGAACAACTAGCAGTAGATGAGGATCCAGTTTGGGATTACTTGAGAGAACTCAAGCTGTACAAGTCCTTGGGACCAACCAGGTTGCATCCAAGGGTCCAGAGAGAACTGGCTATTGTCCTCGAAAGGCTTGCTGTCTTTGGTAGGCTGTAAAGATCAGGGAAGAACTCCAATAACTGGTGGAAATAATATGTTTCACCCACCTTGAGAAAGGCCAAAAACCCCTGAATTGGGGAACTACAGGCAATTTAGCTTTACTTTGATCCCTAGGAAGATTAATGGATCAATCCAAGTTAGGAGATTACACTTTGTAGTGGTGTTCAACCAGACAGGTAAAAAAAACTCGTTTCATGATCAGTCTCAGAGAGTAGTGATTGAGGTGTTGTACTTGGAAGGTTGGTACTGAGAGAAGTGTTGCAGGGGTCTGTCCTGGGGCCTTTCCTGTTTAACATCTTTATCAATGACCAAGAGGAGATGACAGGGTGCTCACCTACCAGATTTGCAGGTGATACCAAATTAGAAGGAACAATCAATATGCTGAAGGACAGGACTGACATTCAGAGTGGCCTAGAAGCTGAGGGAATGGCCCATTTGGAACCTTATATAATTCAAGCAGGGCAAATGTGAAGTCCTGCGCCTGGAAAGTGAGAATTCCTGGCAATAGTACAGGCTAGGACTGCCTGGCTGGTTCCAATCTGTGAAAAAGGCCCAGAGGATTGGTGGGCAGCAAGCTGAGCATGAGCCAGCAGTGACCCTGGCAGCAAAGGCAGCCAACAGCATCCCAGACTGCACGAACAGGGGCAGAGCTGGAGGCTGAAGGAGGAGATTATAGTGCTTTACTTCTCATTCTTTAGAAGTGACTTCAACAGAGGCCACCAAGATGGCCAGGAACTGGAGTGCTTGCACTGTGAGGAGAGGCTGAGGGATCTGAGTTTATTCATTCTGTAGCAGAGACAGCTTTAGGGGACTTTGACAGCAGTCTGCCAGTACTTATGAGGATATCATGGAGAAGATTCGACACGCTGGAAGGGAGGGATGCCATCC